CATAGCAATAAGACTATAATGAAGAATAATGGTTGGACAGAAGCACCTAACAGAGAGTAACTGCTTAAAACCAAATAGTCACAACTATCCTTTCCATAAGGTATGTGTACTAGATCCTTCTTCTTTTTTTATCCAAGAAAGTATACTGTTATTCTGATTTTATTTAAATGTGTAAATTATATAGGTATTGTTTTTGTTATGTGATTTATTTGAAAGTGCCAAAATACATATCATAGAACTAAGAAAGAGAGAAAAAGAGAGACAGAAGGAGAGAGAGTCTGAGAATTAAATCCAGGAACGTCTTAAACCAGTGTCCTAGTTTAGAAGCATTTAAAAAACCATGGTCAAAGGATAGGCCCAGTAAGAATTTCAATATTTAATAACATTCTCTCTCAAAGATTTTCAAGAGCCAATACTGTCCATTGCAATGATTATTGGAACATTTTCCATCTATGATATAGCCCCAGCATCCACAACATCTTGGGAATCTTTGACTTTGCCCCAGTCGAATTCTGTCATCTAGGCTGCTTGATCTCTGCATCTTAGTTCGTCTCTTCTCAACATGGTGCAGTCTCATATCTGGAGTTCCAGGCATGTCAGACCTTCTACTATGAGCTATTCCATAAAGAGTCTATGCTTCTTCCACTCTGATTGTTCTTCTTGCAAAAACTTCATGCTACTTTAGACCCTTTTCTCCAGAGAATGTGTAAGAAGAAAGATAAATTGGCTAAAAGTGGAGGGTTGTAAACAGTTGGAGGTCAAAAAAATTTTTCAGATTGTATTTTGTTTAAACTTTGGAAATTTTGATAAAGAAATGTTGGATATTTTGTCCATGAGTCCAAAGTCTCTTTTACTAGGAGTGTGTGCAACTTTACCTGGGACCCTTTGGAGGTGTGCAGGGTAACATTTGGCTAACTCCTTTTTATGTAGAGTAGTTTCCACTTATCCATAAGGAATATGTTCAAAGATCCCCAGGGGATGCCTAAAACCACAGATAGTGCTGCATCCTTTATATACTATGTTTTTTCCTATGCATACATACCTATGATAAAGTTTATTTATGAATTAGGCAGAGCAAGAGATTAACGACAATAACTAATAATAAATAGAATAATTATAACAATGTGTTGTAATAAATGTGAATGTGGTTTCTCTCTCTCTCGAAATATCTTAATGTTCTGTACTGAGCAATTTTCAGACCCTGGTTGACTGTGGGTAACTGAAACCGCAGAGAGCAAAACCGCAGATAAGGGGGACTACTGTAATTGGTAACTATAAGGAAAGAAAATATCAACAAAAAATTTAATCTCCTATTCCTCCAAACTTAGTGGTTTTGACAATAGGAGAAAAATAATTCCTGGAAGCAACTTCTAAATTCTCTTCAATATCGTAATTGTTTCAAATGAAGGACCAATCTCTACATCCATGCCCTCTCTATCCTAATCATGCTTGAACCAGAGAAACTCTGGGAAAGGAGTGACCAACTGCATTCATTGTTCCTTTCCATGCCATCCTCTACCTCCCAAAGGCGTGTGAGGATCTGAAACACCCAAATTGGTTTACTCTCTGGCTCTGAGTATGGATGTGTCCTGATAAGAAATGGAAAACTTCTTTACTGAGTCTGTTGTGACATCCTTTGTTGATGCTGTTTTCAAATTATCGAGACACCTCAGAGTCATTTTTCATTTCCCCAATTTATTGACAGCCCACAGAATCTTTCTAATTTTAAATCCATAAGGGCCCTTAGAATGGGCCTTCTAATCTCTCATATAGTGATATCCTTTGCCTCTGAATCTGTCCATTTTTGTATAATGACACTGGTATGTTCTGATCATAACTTAAAATCATGTTCTCTTCCTTTTCACACAGCACTGCCTAAATCTGTATGCAAATTCTGAGAATTAGTTTGAACCAGTGATTGCAAAGCTTGTTTAATGCTATTCTATAGTTGCTGTAAAGCAGCCAAGGACTCTGATTTGGCTGGCAGAGGCAGGTCTTTAAATAGCCCCAGCCTAACTGCCCCTGGCTTCTCTCTTTCCAGTAGGCTTCAGTGTCATAAGCAATTCAGAGTCCAATGAAACTAAAAAATATATTTCTGGAAGGTTTTTTTTAGACATTCTCACTTATTAAACATAAATTATATGTTTTAAGTTTATTTATCTAAATGCATTTTCCCCTCAAAATGTAATTCTACACTAAACATGCTCTATACACCAGCTTGAGCGCTTTCTAGTTGTTGTCAGGAACAAACTTCTCTTATCCTGTGTCTACTTTGCCTCTGTACAATATAAGCTTGGTTTTAATGGTAATTGTGATGAAAATGTACCCCTGGTTTAGACTGAGGATAATGTAATGAACAAACCTCAATGTGCTGTTCAGGATAAAGACCAGAGAAGGAAAAACCTAGCAGAGTCCAGGGCGAGAAAGAACTTTATATATCTCCACCTGTTAAATCTGTAATTCTTTCAAATATACACATGTGTGTAGGTGCATTTAGCATACATACCCACCGGGGAAATATTCCCATCTCACGGAGTATAAAAATCTTGAAAGATACAGATATATATGCAAACGTGAGTGTTCTATAAATGTAGCTCAGTGACTCTATAAGAAAATTAAGTATAAATTCAAAAAAAAAAAAAGGAAACAAAACAGTTATTTAAATCTTATGATTCAGTAGAGGATGTATTTAGCAACAGAGATTATTTGACAATAGACATTCATAAAGTGAGCCAAAAACAAGTTGAATCACAATAAACTTGCTAGTTTGGCTTAATAAAGGATTTGCTATGGCTTTCTTTTAAGAAGCCCCCAAACCTTTAAAAATGAGTGCTCATCATACTGGTAAAATAGGATACCCACATATTTTATTACTACCAATTAAAAGGTACAGGAATGGAGAAATTAAGAGCATTTAAGAGCAGAATTAAAAATAATTTTCATTTGAAAGTTTAGCTTGCTTAAAGAAAAATATGAAAAACATGTTCACGGATTATTTCCCTTAGACTTTTAAGACAAGGATAATTATGTACTACATTATAATATCTGGCAGAGGTTCATTTGATCACCATATTTTTAGAAATTTAATGTAAAAGAGAAATGCAAAACATTTATGCTCTAGGTCGCTATTTATATTCCTTGTGACAACATTCAAATAACTCTGGCAGCTTTCTGAGTAGTTGGCAGTTTCTACAAAATATGCCAAGGAAGGAGCACAACATTACTACTCTATTTCATGTCACATTTTTCTAAAACACAAATAGTGAACTTTCACCACATGCTATTGTACAGCACTGCTACGGCAACATCTTTGTAGAGTTCCTGAGCTTCTTTGAAAAGTAGGATCTAATCAGCACAAAGGGAGATAAAATGTCATCATTACTGTGGCTATAATTATCTAGTTGGCAAAATAAACTCTATACAGAATCACACATTAAAACAAATTTGTTTAGTAAAACTAAGTGTTTTATTTCAGCTCAGCTTATGAACTGGTTAAAAATAAGCAAAGAAAACATTGATGGACCTTCTATCATGTTTATTGGATTTTCGTTGCTGGTTAAAAAGGCTAACTATTTTTCATTGTAGAACATTTAGAAAACATAGTTTTGGTCTGTATAAAAATAGCTAACCATAACTAAACATAATTATACACTATGAGACAGAACATTTTTGTGTTATAGTATTTTGATATATTTTTCTTTTCTGCAGACACATTTAAGACTATTTGCAATTTATTTAAATGCATCATAATAATTCTAACTCCATATATTTCATTATCAATAAGAATTTATTTTTAAAAAATAATCAAATGCTCACATTTTTGTGATTGTTTATTGTTGCCGAAATTTAGTGTAGATGCTTAAATTTATTTAAACAGAGGCCTGCAATGTTGTGGACATTTTTGACTGATTTCAAAGAATGTGCCTGAAAGTAAAAGTTTGTGCTAATTCTTCAAAAGAGTAAAAGCAGTGTCTAACACAGCACAATAAATCCATGATGAAGTGAACTGATACAACATATATAAGTTTTCAAAGTATATGTAGATTGAATTACAGGAAAAAGGTCATCCTCTAATAAGCCAATTGATATAATTTTTTAAAAAATATAAATCTGGAAAAATATACTGTTTAGAATAAAGAGGAAGTGCAAATAAAACCAGCTCAATGGAAGGGTAAATCACAGAATTGGTAGACAAAACGATCCATGGATTACATTCAAACACACAGAATAGTTTGAAATAGAAACAGCCCTAAAAGAGAAAATTTACTGCTACATAGAAGAGGAGGAGATTCTTTAAATATGCATACAATAAAGTTCAGAGAGCCTAGGAGGGTGCTATAAACAAAAACACTAGTGATATTTATTTTAGTTTTAATAAGGAAAATTATCTTTTTGAAGAAGATCTTGAAATGAATTAGGTATTAGTTGTTAATTACTACAGACATTCCAAGTGAAAATTCAGACTTCTTCCTCTGCTCTCCACCTTTTGTCATGTTCTTGCTTTCCAAGCACATTCAGTTCTCCTGTTAATCATTCACAATCACCATGTCTAATCAGCTATGTATATTGAATCTGACCAGATTCTAGCTAATATAAGTTAGCACTGTAAAGCTTACCTTGTGGTGCACTTCTTCGGAGGAATATTATAATACATTATGTTTCAGTTAGATGACTCTATGTATGATAGTCAACTTATTGATAAAGAAACATTCCAGCTTGTATCTATCTTGAATGCATTCTTGGCCTGATCCTGAATCAAACAACTCCTCAATCAAAACAAAATATTTGTATTCATTGAAAGAGGCTCTTAAAATGTAATCCAAGTAAAGCATCTCCAGGGAATGGCATAATTTAAACCCATATGGGAGGGAATCAGAGGGGAACTGTTTATGGATTTGGGTTGAAGTGTTCATTTGGTACCTCTACTCATGGAAAACTGAGGATTGAATTTGAAGAAACTCATTTACATAAGATATTTGTAAAACATAAACCTCACTCACCGTTTCGACTTTCTTCATCAATAGCAACTATGGTAGCTGGTGGTCCTCCCCTAGCTAGTTTGCAATCTAAAGACAGAAAATAACCAAAAGTAATAATTAACAACTGCAGGAGCACTCATCCTGAAATCAAATTCATTCAGATTTATATTGGCATTTAAAAAAAATCTTATGACAAAATTATTATGTATCATTATTGCAGACATTTTATTATTTTAAAAATATTTTATAAGACCCACAAAGATTCCTTACCATATCCTAACACAATCAAGTTGTACACCACAAAACTATTAAGATCATACTGAGAAAACACCAGCAGAGACCTCTGGAGAGCAAAAGTCCTTCAGGACAGAGATAATGGGATGGAAATTTAACCCAAAGAACTAACATAAAGGGATGATTAACAAGGATAAATTGTAATTAAAGCTTCACAACAGAAACAAACATAATTGAACTTTAATTGTGATAAAGGTGTAATTAAACAGAGTGAATAGAATTTTAATAATGTTCTAAAGAGAATAAAACAAAGACAGACAAGAAATGCTCATGAGATTGTTTGGGATTTTTATGTTTGTCTTCTTACCCTCATATTGCCAGTCTGGAGTCAAAAGTATAGAGTCACCAATGGAAGCAGATCAGAAAAATGAAAAAAAGAAAGGAAGAAAGAATATATGTATATGTTTAGCAAGAGATTTAAAGATATAAAAAGCATTATACAATAACAGATACATCACCAAATGATTTGTGGAAATGGAATATATAAAATATTTATACCAGATTTTGTAATTGTAATACAATAGTAACACATCAAGTTGATAATACACATCATTAGCGTTTTAAAACTGTTGTAGATAGACTTGAAAACAACATAAAGTACATTTATATGTTTCTTATGAAAAGATAAATACAAATTACTTATGAACAATCTACTATCACTATGTTGAAAAAATCTTAATAATAAAGTGCCTGTCAATCAATGGTGATGATTAATTCATTATTTCAAACCCTGTTAATACCCTGCCAGCATCACATGATAATGAAGATAAAAATAGTACCATGAGCTATAATATCCATGACAATTAAAATGTGAAAACTGCACCTGTGATGTCAAATGTACATTTGTGAGACATAAAGTACTTTCCTAGGAGGTATGTAATGAGGCCGATAGGGCTGTGTTATGCAGTTATATCTACATGGCACACTCATGTACAGTGTGCCAATTAAGTTTGATTAAAGACATCCAAATATGTGTGCTAACTGGCAGAAGATTTCAAGGTTTATTTATTTAGTTATTTATAAAAATTCTGCCATTTATTATGCACATGGGCATGAATGCTTTGGTAAGCACTATTCTATGTTGTAAAGTATGTACTCTCGCATATGAAGCAAGGAAGCTGAGAGATCTACAAGTTTTCTCTTTTCATTCTTGTCAATATTCAAGGGGTTCCAAGTCTTAACACTTTCAGATCTACAATAGCTCATACTCATTATGTTCCTTCCTCTCCTTCCTATATCCCCTGACACAGGTCAGCTCTTCACTGTTTGTCATCTTAACTCTTGCAGTGGTTTCCTCACTGGTCTACTAGAAGCCTTGTTTTCATTCTGCATTTACCTATTCTTTTCATGAGAATTATTTTCATGTACTCAAATCCAACATGAAATAATGGCATTTCTCTGCACAATAACCTTAACATGTTTCCTTTGGAGTAAAGTAAAAAAAATAGAATAGCATTCAAAGTTTTTCACATGGCATCAACATCCTTTATTTAGAATTAAGTAACCTGTCCACAGTCGCATTAAACCTCATACTCTTAATGGAATGTATCTTTTATTTTTTGGCAAGTTTTGTCACCTACATTTTTGCCTTTATTTCTGCCTAGCAAACCTCTACTTCTCTTTGCAGAATTAGAGATTTCACCTATTAATATACCATGAAACTTTGACCAATCTCCCAGTCAGAATTTCTTTTACTCCCATGTTCTGACAATATTTTGTTTATCTAGTTCTTCCTTCCTTTATGTATTCAAAACTCATTAATTCATTCAGTCAAATGTGTAGATTAATTACTCAATTCTAAATATGAGAATAAAAAAAAAAAGCAACAGCTCCTTTCTTCAAGGATCTTAGGTGGTAGGGGAAGAGACCAGAAGAACAAAGATATACAAGCAACCACACAGGTATAATACAATATGGTACATGTGAAGTCAGGTCTTTAATAAATTTACTAACAACATAAAAGACTAAAAGAAAATAGAGACAATACACGTGGAGTGGAAATGAGATAGCCAGATGGCAAAGATGATTTGTGAAGAGAAAAAAGGAAACTTTACAAGTTCTTAAAGAAGCAAATTTTTGGATTAACAAATATAACTTCTGTTTGTATTTTTGAGAGCAGTTTATTTTTCAAGACTATCCCCTACACATACACACACACACACACACACACACACACACACACACAATATGCCACTGTGTGCTACTTCCTTAGTTAAGATCATCATACCTACACAAAATAGATTAAAAGTGTGTAGAGGAATATATATTTAATCAATAACTATATGGGCAAGCAGGATAAAAGAAAAGAAAAGAAGGGAGGAAGTTAGGTAAAAATATTTTAAATACTTTCACCAGTTGGTTACTGTTAACTTTAAGGGTAAACTTTCTCTAAGCAGCTAAAGCAAATAATACTCTTCATATCCCAGTGCTATTTAACTCCCCTATCTTTCCCATTTTCATGATTAATTCTCTAGTCATACCAATCTGTTATGTTTGTGGCACCAACTGCTAAAATGCACTTTCTCTTGTTTTTGCCCTGGTTAGTTTTATTCCTCTTTCAAGAATCTGCCAAGGCATCGCCTCTTCTAGAAAATCTTCCCTGTTGTGATTCTGGATTAAATGTCTCTTCTTTCTACTCCTGCAGTATTCTGTATTCTATTCCTTTATTCCATTGGATTAACTACCCCATCAGGAAAATACTTATGTGTCTTTTTCTATCACAAGAGCTTCCTCAGACCAAGTTTGTATCACATTCATCTTGGTAACTTCAGAACCTGACAAGAGCTTGTCCTGAGAGAATGTTTGTTGAATTTTTCTGAACTGCAATTAACCAAGCTACAATCTCCCATTGAACAGCCCTTCATGAAGGTGCTCAGAAGTCTGTCTTATATTATCTTCTTACTAGTGGAAACAGCCCAGGAGTAGAGGCTCAACTACATTTCCTCCCAGTCAGATCCCTTTAGATTACTCCCCTTAAGCTTTATTCTTCTAGAAGATTCTAAATGCCCCCATAAGATATTTTCATGTACAACAAATACCTCTAGATCAATACAAAAATATTTTTAAACCTTTTAAAGACTGACAACACTAATAAAGAAAGGTGAGTCAGACACATAAAAATAATCTATTAATAACATTGTTCATAACAAAGTGTTTGTTTTTAAATAATGCTTTCATGAAAGTATAATTAATTAGTTTTGAAATTCACAAAAACATTTTTAATAACAAGTATACTCAGAATTGTCTTGAAAAGAAAGTAATTTTGGATGGAATAGCCAAGGGTGTATTATACATGCAAAATATCCATATGGGGATCAAAGTGAAGACTAGAAAGCAATTGGGGGATGGTGAGCCTGTTCTCTATGGTCTATGGATAATCTGTCTGCCACGGGAAAGTCAGGTTAGCTGCTGACGCCTGTATCTTGGAAATGGGCTTCTTTAATCTATTTAATTTCACCCTTGACTGTTCTGGTTAAATCACAAATTCATTGTTTTTCATGCCTAAAATTTCTAACTTCTTAAGCCCCCTACCCATTTCCCATATCCGATTTGCTATAAAGTACAGGATATGAATACCAATACCTGAATGCTCAGTCTGGCTTGTTTCTGCAAATTTGTCAGCAAGCTAAAAATAAACCATATGTTTTTAAATAATACTATGCAACAAGTTGGATTTAAAACCCCAAAAGAAGAATTCGAATGAGACTTACGTAATCACTGGTCTCAAAGATACTAAACCTGCGATACTCTGTTCTCATTGTAGCCTGAAGTTTAAGAGCATGTTACAGATAGGTCAGAAAAAAGGCAATAATCCAGAATTTTCCAAATAGGCTTATTTATTACCAAGGAAAGAGAGCAACCAAGAAGTACAATCTTATTTTCACCTTAGCCTATTCTCAAACTTCCTTTTAAGGCCAATCAATGTGTTTTCAATAAAATTTCAAAACTATTCATTCTTTTTTTCCATATACTAACATGGTAATTGGAACCTATATGTCAATGACTTGAAAATTGTATTTCCTACACTGACCTCTCTTCTGAGTCTGGGTCCTATTGCCCAGTCAACATCTTCACTTGTAATTTCAAAGTTTTCTTAAACATAGTACTTTATAAACATAGTACTTCAAATTGAATTCCAGTTGCTACCCCCAGCCTAAACTTGGACTCTTTTAGTATATATTATTTTAGTGAATAGCATGGTTTTACACCAAGCTGCATAAACTAGAAACCAGGGAGTCATGTTTCCTACCCATCTCTCTAGCCTTCCTAAATAAACCTATCACTAAGTCTTGAATTTAATTCTTAAAGGAAAACTTCTCATATCCACCCACTACTTTCAATTTCCAGTGGCACCACACTGATTCTATCTCTTACCTAATCAAGTAGGTTTTCCCAACTACTTTCCCTACAATCTGGTCCCCACTCTAATTTAATTTTCTATCTTTAACCAGAGTAATCTTTTACAGATAAAAAATTGTTTCTTTTTTAATCATTTGCCATTTCTTTTAGGTTAAAAACTAAAATAAATTTACATCCCAGTGCATAATATGATTTTAGAACTAAAACTGAAATATTTCATATGACCTATTAGGTCCTGTAAGATATGGACCTCTCCTTCCTCTTCAGTCTCACCTATTTCCATTCTCCTATTTGTTTCCAGCAAAACTAATTCTGATCCCAGACTAGTAAGGTTCCCCAGACTAGGTAAGGTAACACATTCTCATAACTCTCTGCTTCATATCTATTTACAATTATTTGATTCCTCATGGACAGAAAACTTACTGACAATCCATATCTTGTTTCTATTCCTCATGTTTGCGTCCCCAGGGCAGATTTCCTGGGATATAGTTGATTTTAAGCAATCATTTATTACATGGAAGAACTAAGACCTCAACCAATTTTGCAACAATAAAATTTTAAAAAGCACTCTATATAACTTAGTCTTCCTTTTTTTTTTTTGTCCTTTTAAACTCTGAAATGTCATTCTCAAATACAAGTACAGCAGGTCCTCAAATCATTTCTTTCCATTCAACATCCTTTCATTATAACACTGATGAGAAAAAAAAAAAAAAAAGAGTTGATTCCTGGTGAGGGGCACTGTCTGTGTGAAGTTTGCATGCTCTCTCCATGCCTGAATAGGTTTCCTCTGGGTACTCTGGTTTCCTCCCACATTCCAAAGCTGTGCCAGTGAGGTTCATTGGCACGTCTGCATGGTCCTGGGCTTAATGAATGTGAGTGTGATGTGAGGGCATCCCACAATGAGATGACATCCTGTCCAGGACTGGCTCCTGTCTTGCCCCCTCAGGTGCCCAG